TTCTAATTAAATTATAAAGAAAATGTTGTAGATTGAATCAATTATGGTACCAATTCAGTTTCATCCAAATTAAGTTTTCGATGAAACCAAACACATTGTGGATGCAACTGCTAAAAAATATCTTCAGAAGACGACTAGTGATGTACATCATCTTATTCCGGTCGAAGGTGCTGCTGACAGAAACTGTTTATACCATTCAACTCTTCTTTTGATGAATAATCCAACGGTGACGACAGATGAATTGCGCGGTACATAGATTTATTTTTCGTTTATATGATTGTACAATCTATTTTAATATAATTTTTAGTTCGAACAATTATCGAACTTATAACAAATGAACTTATTATGATAGCATGTATTCACAATTCGTCGGATCTGTCGCATTTATTATCAAGGCTATGTGCAAAAATAATACATTTTCAGATTTGTATGAAATTAGTGCATTATGCAATGTACTTAAATGTAATATGCGAAGCATCTATCCAGAAATTGATTTTCGAGAAGATCTGACAATTATGAATAACCTTTTTACACAATATCCACCTGTCATTGCCAACTGTGACATCACAATTTTATGATCTCACGTCTTGAACGAAATAGATGCACGAGCTTCAAATAATAATGTATGGAGTCCCAATCATTTTGTTCCTCTTCTATCATCAGCAGTGCATTACACATCTGAATACGGAAATAAATCACCAAAGTTTTCCGTAAGTTGTTTATGTGTAATTGTTTCTCTGGAAATTTTGAAATTTATTTAGACTCCTGAAAAGAAAACGTTTAAGAATAATACCACTACTCGAATACGAAATCCTGAATTTGAATGTTCTCCTAACAGCCGTCGACGTATCGATAATATGGGGATGTATTCCACTCAATCAATCAGTTCAAGTGTACTACAATAAAGTTAAAGTGGCATAGAAGAACAACATCGTCAGCTTCGCCTTGAATAGCAAAAAACACGGAATCAATCGAATGAAACAGCAGAACAATGTCAAATTCGACTTGAGAAGCAAAGGAAAAGAAGCGAAACAAACAGAGCGAAGAAGAAACTTGAAAAATACACATTTGGCAACATTGACATTCATCGACAAAATATCGAAATGCAATTTAGTGGAACGGAAGAAGAAGTATTTTGGAATAATAGCAGCACAAATGAAAACAACATACAAAAAAAGAACGACTCAAATTATTCGTCTTGGTCTGAATCGATTCCTCGTGAATTAAAAGAGACCCGTTTGCAACAGTTTCTTCAACAGATGCCCATGCCAGTACTGGCTGAAGCTACTTGTGCAATTTGCAACGTGCGTATTCCAATACAACAGTCAAAAAAAGTGTCACTCTCAAAAATTCCTAATATCCATTTACTTAAAGTTTCTGACGAGCTCAAAAATTTAATTACTAATGGCCCATCATCGTTATCACAACATTTAGACAGTAACAGCACAACGATTCTTCAGAATATTCAAAGTAACATATGATTACTTGGTTTGAGACATTATATAGAATCTTTGACTATTCTAGTTCCTTCAACTTTCGATTCTTCATTATTTCATTATGATAATGGTGTCGTTTTATATACCAATGGATTATTTCAACAAAACGAGGTGAACATATGCACACTTTGCCAAAAATGTCACATTTCTCTGTCGAAGGGACAAATTCCTAAATTCTCAGCCGCCAACAATATGTGGTTAGGTGACGTACCTTCTGAATTACAAGGATTGAGAATTCCAGAAGAAAAATTGATATCACTCTATCATCACAACAGTTGTACAATAAAACTTCATTCGCCTTTCCATTCCACTACAATTGCCCAGACTGCATTGAAAGGCAACTATATCACTTTTCTTCAAAAGCTCATCCTCCTGAACGCGTTCAACTTAAAAAAATGCTCACAATGCGCAAGAAGAAAATTATTGAAGCATTACATTGGCTGAAGAAACACAACGTACTTTATCAAAATGTCGATATAAATCTGAAGAATATTGCTCAATTAACTGAAGACGACGTACCAGAATGTATTATGTCAATGACAGAACAGAAAATAGATGATGAAGAAATTCAATCTGAAAGAATTGGATATATTCCTGATCCATTATCCGATCCGATAGAACGTACTACTACAGATAGTATTCCTATTAGTAGCAGGTAAGAGCAGCTAATAAATTAGTTGTTTCACAAATCTTTTCTTTTTTAGTGGTGTTCTCGATGTCAACGGCTCATCACTGTCTTCAGATGAAATTACTGATTACCTTTTGCACAAAATTAAAAATGACGGAACAAAGGAACAGATGGACACCGAAAGTGTTTATTTGATTCCTCATTCTTTGAAGCCTGTTAACGAATATTTTAATCCAAAACTATTCGTAGGTCTGTATCCAACTTTATTCTGTTATAGACGTGGAGCACCTGAAGATCAATCGCGTCCAGTCGAAGTAAATTTACGCGAACGCATACGTTATCTGTTACCGTACAATGATCGACGTTTTGAAATGAACCACAGTTTTATATTTGTCGTCTTCAGTCTATTACAACGACATGATGCTTGTTTTCATGCTCAGCTGATCGCAACAAAACCTTACTTTCGAGTATCTGCTGATGAAATTCAATCCTTGAAAAGTAAAGATATTGAAATGGCGCTCGATAACATTTCCAAAAAAACATACAGTTCGGAATCCAGCAATGCATTAAATAAATTACTACATCATATTAAAACCATCGGTGGTCGAGTTATGGGTTCAGCATATTCACATACGGCATTATGTACACGTATTCATGCATTAATCTACAATCAGGGATTACCAAGCATTTTTTTAACTTTAAATCCAGCTGATATTCACAGTCCCGTGGCATTATATTTTGCTGGCGTCAAGCTTGATTTGGACAATATTCAAATGGAACAACTTACGGATACTTACAAAAGAGCTGAAATTATAGCATCTCATCCTGTTGCTACTGCCAAATATTTCCGTTTATTGATCAGTAATATCTTAGATACTATGATCGTTGGTGGTGTACTTGGCCCAATAAAAGCTTACTTTGGTACCGTTGAAATCAAACGACGAGGTTCCCTTCATTTGCATCTTCTTATTTGGCTTGATCATGACATGAAACCAGCTGATATGAAAGACAAAATTTAAAATGCTGATTTTCGTGAAAAATTGAAAGCATATCTAGAAGATATAATCGAAGAAGATTTAGATGAATCAAGGACAAACATGTCTTCGAAAATTTAGATGGTAT